ACACATGTGCAGTGCAGTGCTGGTGAGAGGTGTGTTTCATAGGTTTTAATGCCTGAAAAAACAATCAGACTCAGACAAACCGACACAAACAAGTGCAACTGCTGAGTGTCTGATTGCTCCAGGCTGAAAGGAGATTAAGGTGAGGGGTCAACAGGTGTCTGAAGCTGTGCAGGTCAGCAGTCTGTCTGAATGACTCCAGATTACAGACAATATTGCGATTAGTCTGTGAGTGCCAGAGGAAAACCTCCTAGCTAGTTGATGGTGTTAATCAGAATCAGAATGAATTGTTTTCATATGTAAACAATGGGATTGTGTTTGTAACAATCTAAACATTGTACATGAATGTTGGATTGTCTATAATTTAGCAGCAATATAGAAAGTTTAATAACTTTCTTCAAGCAGCAAATGATGAGTTTTCCATCCTGACAAATTTACTGATTCTTTTTTTTTACTGTTAAGACTTAGCGTAAATTTTCAAAATATTTCCAAAGACATAAAACTTACGTGAATAGGTTATCAAAACAGCTGGATTCTTCTCATTCTTTTAGCTTTGCGGAACCAGGAGGGGGTGGGGAGTCTTCAGGTTCCCTTTTCTGTGAAACTGTGTTCAGCGCAGCTGCCATTAACTTGGGATAAACTGGTGCATTTTTATAGACAAAGGAGGCCTGTCAAAACCCTGGAAATCATTAATAACCTTCCTTTCTGTGGTCTTCATCAGAAGTTTACATACACTTATGGGCATAAATCTCATGGAAATGTTTTTTAGCTGTTCTGTTGGTTCCGGACAGGATTTAAATTGGTTAATATTTGACCGCTCTTCCTTTGTAAACAACAAGCTGGGAATTTCTCCTTGGCGGATCTTCACTGAGTTCTTTGAATTTTCCCATTGCTCTGAGTATTGGCCGATTTCACGAGTGCTATCAAACAAGAACTTTTTATGCTGGCAAAGAGAAACTACCAGTTCTCATCACTCATGTCATATTTGAACCAACATGTTTTTAACCATGTGTAGACTAGAGAAAATACAAAATAAACTAACTTATACATGGAATTCTTATCTTTAAGGTTCTACAGTGATTCTACTCTGGAAAAAGAACATTTCAACCATTAAAAGCCCCAAATTACTATGATATTCAAGCCTATGATGATTGTGTGTAAACTTCTGATCACAACTGTACATCACTAGTGAAAAGACTGTGTTCACTCAGTCTGACACACATGTTGCATTTCTGCTTTCCTAAAAAATGTTCATTTTATTCACGTTTTTTGTCCTCTTTTTGTCTCAGTTTTAGTAACTGCTTCTCGCCTGTGGAAGAAACTTCCAGGTGACTTAAGAACAGACACAAACTTAAAGAGTTCCTACAAAACCTTTCACTGTTTTTGTGATGAGTCATATTTTGCACCTAACGATAATACTCTGTTTGGATTAAATGTGAAAAAAAGACATTAAGCCACAGATTTCACAAGCAGTGAAATTTTTTTATAGTCTTACATGATAAGAGTAGCCACTTCCTGTTAATTCATAGACAATGAGCATTTATTTAAGGAAACACAAAATAATGAAATATGAAGTAGCTGCTCTTTTATTGGTAAACAGTCATAATATAAAGCAGCTTCACTCCCCCGTTTAATAAAAGTTTAAATCATTTTTACTTTTTATCAGGAGTTTCTGTATGAAATTGCATTCTTTCCTTTCGTAACTAGCTTTGTGCAACTTATTCAACAACGTGATACATTTTTTGTTGAATCATACATTTCACAAGTTATCTTCAGTGTTTATGACACAAGCGGCTCTTTTGTGAAATCTGACTATTGCAGCTTCTGACGTCACATCAGTGCTGTTACAATATTTTCAAAATAGTTTGTTAACACCTGCTTTTTCAGAGAGCTGCCTCCCTTTCACATTAGTTGGAAAATGTCTTGTTCTCTTCAGGATAAGACCAAAGAGGTTTGACACAAAATGATCTGCAAATATCACGCCCCCAGATACTTTCTACTTTGGCATAAAAAGGAGCTTTTGGTAAAAGGCATTTAGAAACTGTGACTCAAACTATGAAAGTAGACACTAATGATGTAACTTGCGTTATAAAAAAGAAAGCTCTGAAATGACTGACTATGTTGCTATTTTCTTTTTCATTAAAGCCATTCAAGGACATCTTGTGATCCTTCCTGCTGGAAGAAGTCACTTTCATTAGGACTGAAATGTCTCAGGATTAAAAGTTATAATCAGAATAACTTTGTTTTGATTAGCAGAGACCAATATAGCAATACAGAAGTTGGCCAGGTGGGTGTCACAAATAATAAACAACCCACAGCACAACAAAATAGTTTAGGAACAATAAAGGTAACATGTAATATACTCCCCTTTGACTTTTTAGCTACACCTGTTCGAGTACCTGTTAACACAAATCAGACACAAGGCAGCAGCTCAATGAATTAAGGCACGTAGACGTGATCCAGAGGACCTGATGAAGTTCAAACTGAGCAAAAGAATTGGGACGAAATGTGATTTTAGTGACTTTGAACAAGGCGTGTTTGGTGGTGGTGCCAGATGAGCTGGTCTGGGATTCCCCTACACGGCCATTTCTAGGGCTTCAGGGGTGAATGACCAGACTGCTTTGAACTGACAGGAAGATAAGAGTAAATTAAAAAACACAACAAAAAACACACACAGAAGTAGAATAAGTAAAAGATTAAAAAAATGTTTTCTGGCCTGATGAGTCTTTTTGCTGCAACATACAGATAGTAGGCTCAAATATTTGGCAATAATACGAAAGCACGGATCTGCTGGTGGTGGTGTAAAGGACATTTTCTTGGAGCCCCTTATTATGACCCGAGCATCATTTAACACCATGGCCTACCTGAGTACTGTTGCTGAACATGTCCATCCTTTAATGCCTATAGGGTCTGATGGCTGCATCCAGCAGGATGACGCGTCATGTCACAAATCTCAAAACTTGTCAGACTGATTTCTTGAACATGATAATGTGTTCATTGTACACATGGAAATACACCTGACTAATGTTTGCAACTGTGTGATGCTATGAATACGGACATACCTAAATGTCGAAGGAATGGTTCCAGCACCTTGTTGAATCTTTGCCATGAAGAATTAAGACAGTTCTGAGAGCACAAGGGGGTTCAAAGCTGTACTGGCAAGATGTACCTAATTTTCCAGTGAGTGTATTAATGGAAAACTGATACTTAATTAAATTCTGGTTATTAATAATTTAATGTTAACAAACAATTAACTGATAACAATGTTTAGTGATTGGTTTACATCTGTTTGCAGGGGTCACTGTAAAGTTGTAAATTATATTTACCTCTGTAAATGGTTAACACTGTGTAGCTCATTTATAAGCATTGCTTGAATGGAAACTGATATTTATAGTACTTGATTGAAAGAACGGATATTTAGGGAAGTGCAATGATAGCGTCGCAAAACAAGCTTGTGAGCTTGGAGTCCTCTTTTATTCACTCTTTAGTTTTGGTTTCACTTTTTTGGTGACCTCGAGTTACTCTCCCTGTCTGAATAGGTTTAGGGAAAGACTATGGCGTGGGTTAAAACCTGATGAGTTAGTAGTGAAACCTGTATCACTATTGCCACCACAAATGAGTCACAGGAAAAATGCTAAAGGAAACCCCGTGGGTGTCTCTGAAATGACAGCAGGGTTCAGTAAATGGCAGTATCTGATGCCCTTGGGATAAGAACAGGTTCACTGATCACCAATAACCCTCACTATAGTACGCTTTATCTGCTGTAAAATACTACACACTAATATCTTACTCATAAAGTAATTATTTGATGTGTATGAAGATTTTTAAACATTGTTTTATGTAAACTAATAAAGTTTTAATGATTGATCAGTTGGCCATTTACAAGCAATAGTTATCCAACTTAAGGGTTTCCAGGGAGTGCTAGAGCCTATCCCAGCTGCTATAGGGTGTGAAGCAGAGTAGCAGTTCATCACAGGACAAACACACAGAGAGACAATTGTTCAGACAGTGGGAGAAAGCTGAATCATTCTGAAGAAACCCACACAGGGAGAACATACATCCTCACAATGAGTGGTGTGACAGAAGTGTTAACCACCTTACCCCAAAAAGTCAAACAAATACAACAATTGGTTGAAAATGAAGATTTGTTAGAAGCATTTGGGGGATTTTTTGGACTCTTTAAGCTGAAAACTCCTCTTTACTTTCAGATTTTTAGAATTTTAGCAGTTTAAATCAGGGGTGTCAAACTCAAATACACAGTGGGCCAAAATTCAAAACTGGAACAAAGTCGCGGGCTAACGTTAATATTTATTGAAATATATTTATTCCTCCAGATATAAGAATGAATCTTTTCTTATGGACTCAAACACGTTTTGCTGAAAAACTGAATATGGAACAAGCAAAACTTAATACTAAACAATATATATATTAGCTGTATAATACCAGTAGGCCAGCTCTAATAGTAATTTGGTATGGCTCCGCGGGCCAAAGTTTGACACCTATGGTTTAGATTATCTCACTGCGTTTGTCCTGCTCCATATAATCTCATATGGAGACGGTGCCCCACATGTTGACTTACTTTAGTGAAGTCATGTGAGCCTCACAGGAATGTGTGGTTCATAAAGAGGCATCACTGAACCCCAAAATGCTTACCAGCTGCTGATATGAAGCAGATTAAACATTTCATGCAACAGAAGAACTGAATGCACGAGTGCACATTTATTATAAATAAAATAAACTATTTGTTCTTCATATGATCCATTTCAAACCGGTTTATTAAAGTTAAGTATACCCAAATTTCACTCTGCGCCTTCCATATTGTACTACTCAAAAACATTTCCCCACCTCTAGTTTGTTGGGATCTCATTTAGCTGCTCTAATGGGTCAAACTTTGTCGAGGTCTTTCCTTTAATCAGTCACCGCTCTGCCATGCCAACCGTCTATTTTCTGACGACTGCTCGATACAGGATTGCAACATCGAAACCCCGCCCCCGCTAGATGACGACACCGGGGGAAGAAATATCGAAACCAAACAGAGCCGAAGTCCCTCTGAGTCCGCTCAGCAGTCCGGCTGAAAGTTCTGAACTGCAGCAGGATCCGTGGAGACCGGAGGGGATCTTATCCGGACCGGGGTCGTTTTAATGAGACCCGCCGATAGACGGATAAACGGACAGACAGGAGGACCCGAGGACTCGCTTTGTTCACTTTATCTCCGGATATTCACACAGAGAAGGACTCAAAACTTTCTCTTCTCTATTTCTTTTTCACACATAAGTTTTGCCGATTTGCTTTCTTTCTGCTGCTTTTTCATTGAAACCAAAGAAGTCGCTCAGAAACCGCCAGCTGACTGACGACAGGTTGCGCAACCTAGACAATAAGAAGCAAACAAAGACGTCACCACCAGTTCTCCCAGTTGCTGGTCCCAGTTGTTTTTATGTCTACACCGATTTCTGCTGCAAAGACAGACAGAAGCCAGCACCTAAACGCCGACTCTACTGGATTTCTACTAAATCTACTGGCTTCCTGTTGACCTGCAGTCCGGACCAGTCTGCCTCAAGGTAAAAAAAACCCCAACCTGGCTACTTAACAAAACTAACCAAACCATAAACGAATGCGCCTGTACAGACACATGTAAATAACATTCAAACTGTTACTTATAAAATGCAAAAGTATTATCTGTGAAGTGCATTTGAAGTATTACGTCATATTTACGTGTATTTCACTAAGCTTCGTGCATTGTCAGTTTATAAAACGATAATGCAGGTGTATGAGGCAGAGAAAAAGCGCTGTCCTATCAAATATGAACAATAAGAACAGCAAAGATCATTCCTAAACTTTAAAGTAGTTGCTTGGGAAAATCGAGCTGGAGTTTCGCTTTGTTTCCAGGTATGACGTGCTCATCATCATTTGGGTTTTGCGCTCTCGTTTCCGGTAGTAAAACCTGAAACTGAACTTTTAGACAGCTTCACCCTTATTTTCAGGCCTGCAGATCTGAGCTGATGAAAACTGAAGCTGTAAGTTTTATGACAATTTAGGACCTTGAATGATTTACGTTTAAATGCATGTTACAAACTGACTGGATTGTAGCAGTCTGAGTGTGCAGTGTGAACACTAATCATAAACAGACAGATGCATTAAAAACCTCCCAGAATGACACAGTAGACTCAACAGCAAAATACGGCATCAAATAAATTATGAAAACAGGAAGAAGAGAATAGCTGAAAAGCTCTGTAAAAAGTAAAAGTAAATTCTACAAATCAGATTTTCATTTAAGTTATTTAAGCAAAAATGCCAAAAGAAATTGGGATTTTATTGGAGTGACTGTTGAGTATATCTGCTGCATATCTGAGTTTCTGACCAAGTTAAAAAACAAAACAAAACACTACAGTGCCACACTGTTCCCGTGCGGTTCAAAAGGTTCGGTGGTGAAAACTGCTTCATCTCCTTTTACCTTTAAAGTACATTTGTGGACGGTCAAAACAGCGGTTCTGACTTATCATTCATATGGAGATAAAAGTAAAAATCACAAGTGAGGCTACGTTAAAGACTTAAGCAAACTCAGAAACAGGAATACACACAAAAAACCGAGATTAAACTACAGAATGAAGAAACCTTGTAACAAATACCAGTGGGATTTTTGATAACTGCATTTACTTAAACGCAGCCTTGTCACAGATCTGCTTTACCTTTTTAGATGATAAAGTTGGATTGTAATTAAGATTAAAAATAAATAAATAAATGTTAACAGTTGTGTAAACTCCCATTTCCCATGAGCTCTAGCCCCTCTCAGTTTGAAAAGTCAAAAGTTTATTCTGTTAGTCTATTTAATAACTGTTGTAATTTTACTGAGCTATCTAAACTATTCCAGCAAATGTTCACTTGTTTTTGAATATGAAGAATAAACAAAAGAAACGGGCATCATTAACAAAATGCTGAGTGCCACTACATTTCAGCACACACTGTTACACACCCCACGAACGTTTTCTTTTAGATTATTTTTAAGAACCGGATTTCTGATTATGAGCTGAACAGAACGTCATGGAGAAATCATTCATCTTAGATTCAGTGTTTGTGTATTTGGGGGTGGATGACGTTGCTGCTGTGACTCAGGGTGTTTCAGCAGAGTGAAAGCAGCATTGCCCCACAGCAGGCAACATAGCGTTACCACAGCGACCACAGGCTCTAAAAAAACTTTACATAAGTCTCACTCACTCACACACACACTCTCTCTCTCTTGCATGTGTGTGTGTGTGTGTGTGTGTGTAATTGTTGACTGTATTTAAAGCCTGTTTAAACTATAAACTGTTGTGCTCTGATGCAACTATCTGAAAGCTGAAGCACCCATCAGCTTACAGGAAGTTGCATCATGAAGCCTATAGACACACCGACTGTGTAACATGTGAGCAGCGGAGACGCAGAACACGGAGAGATATGATACAAATATAACTTCTCTTACTGTATGTGAAAGTGTTACTGACAAGTGTTCAGCGGACAGAAGGGGCCAAGTCAGAGTGTCACCTGCAGAGGGCGCTGCAGTGCGGTCACGGCCTCTAAAATTAAACAGCCAAATTACCAAACACTGAATGAAACATTACTTAATCATTAACAATAGTGCGCTCCTCTTCATAGTAACTGTTTAGGATTAAGGATTTCTGCAATTTTTAAGAGCTTTTTAATGCTGCATAAATTGAGACTCTTCACCCTTTTATCATACTGACCATATAATGACAAAATGCATTTATAAAGGTGCAATGCACAGATACACACGCCTGTTATTAGTGCTAAGTAAGATACTAATAAATTACCAGAATCTCAGAAAATCACGTTTAAAATGCTCCAGAAGTAACCAACAAGAAAAGCAAAGTAAAGAGGACAAGTTCAGTGATTGAATTAGTGGAGATGAGGCCACCCAGAGGTCAGATTGGGGAAAAAGTGTCTGAAAGTGAGGGTTTGGAGCACTCTGAATCCTGGCCTTTTGGCTCACAGGTATTACTTCTAGATATGGTGGCTTTATTCATTGAAATATTGGCTGTGTTTAATTGGGATAGTTTGGGACTGTACTTGCTGCAGCATATTACTTGGAAGTGTACATTAACCTGATGATGTCCCCAATCACAGATGAGCGCCAGCGTGTCTACAACCAGATCTCAGCTGTGTCTTAAGAGGCTTCTGGACCAGCCTCAAGTCGATTCACTGAAATGTAAACGAGCCCGTCTGGCTCCACCCCCTACCTCTACTGGGATATCACCCTGCCTGAGACCCACAAGCCCCGCCCCCACATCCAACTCGAGCCAGTCTTCATCAAGAGTTGGGTCATATTTCCTCTTTGAACGGTGTGAGAGGGAAGAGACCTACAGGGCTGTGCATGTGCACACACAGCAGCAGTACACCTGTCAGGTAACACTCAGAAAAACGTCACTGTTACTTTTAATAAGAATTGAATACATGTTAAAAACTGTACTGTCGATACTACAGAAGTAGTGTTAATGATAATATTAGGAAGAGATTACTGTAAAACACTTGTGAAAGTAGTGACTGTATTGTACATCATACTACGTTACCCATGACAGTCACTCCTTTTTTTCCCCACAGGTGCTCCCACTGCGTGGATACCAGGAGCGGTTGGCGGCCTATGACCGGATTGGTAAACATGAAAACATCTGCGCTCTGCAGGACGTTGTAATTGGCCAAAACAAGGTGTATGTCTTCCTGCCTGGTCACCACGGTGACATGCATGCGTATGTGCGCAACAGGAAACGCCTGAACGAGGAGGAGGCGGGGCTTTTGTTCGCCCAGATGCTGAATGCTGTCATGCACTGTCATGACCACGGAGTCGTTCTGAGAGACCTGAAGCTCCGCAGATTCGTCTTCATCGACAAATACAGGTGAGACTCCGAGACTGGTGCTTTGGTAATAGCACTATTACAGCAGTAATACCTGGGACTGTAAAAGACAGATGTAGGGCCCAGGTGGAAGTGCTGTGAAATATTAACTTTAATGGCCTGCAGGGGGAGACTCTTGTGGTTACAAAATACATTCACGAGGCATATCATAAATGGATACAGTCCATTCACGCTTACATTTGTAGTCACAAAGGTCCATTTTGAGGGAGTCTAAAAGAATGCATACTACTCCCAACAAATGGACAAGTATAAATATCGCTAGATTGATCTTACTAGCATGAAGGAGGCATATGGGGGGAAAAAAAAGTACCTCTATTAGTACTTTTACTGTATCTTACAGTCTTGGCTACTTAGCCAAGACTGTACAAATACTACAAATACTGCTGCTGATAAACTTCTGTCTGACTAGTGTTTTCTTTTTCTTTTCCCAGGACTCGTCTGGCACTACTCGGACTCGATGACTGCGTGCTCCTGCATGGTAACAACGACGATGACTCTCTAACAGACAGACATGGCTGTCCTGCCTACGTTGGCCCTGAGCTCCTGACCAATGGGAATGGGTCGTACTCAGGCCGTGCCGCAGACATCTGGAGCCTGGGCGTGTCTCTGTACACAATGCTGATTGGCCGATACCCTTTTCAGGACACGCAGCCTGCTGCGCTGTTTGCTAAGATACGCCGTGGAGCATTTAGCCTGCCCGATTGGATGTCGCCAGAGGCCAAGTGTCTGATTGGCTGCATGCTAAGGAAATCTCCCACTGAGAGACTGACGGCATCTGAGCTGCCGATGCACCCGTGGCTTACCAAACCTCGCATGCCACACAGCAACATGCACAAGATACATCACAGCTCCCACACAACACTACAGAATAAACAAGAGGACAATGACCAAGTGGTGCCAATATGGACTGAGACAAATTAAAAGACATCTCTATTTCCTTGTGAGGACCTGAACTGCTATACTGAATCCCTGCAGCCTAAACCTGATTCACACTTCAGGTGTAAAACCTAATCTGGACTATAAAAACAGCGTCTTCGGGATGTGTGGCTCCGTCCTCACACTCAAAACTCCAAAGAGGTCTTCACAGATATAGACACATTAAAAGCACAGCCGCACTACAGAGACAGTCTAATCCTGGATTACTTGACCCTTATGTGCCTTCTTTCTCTACCTGTGTCTCAGTTCAAGCCCGGCCTCTTTTAGGTGGCAGGGCCTCCAAAGGTGGTTTTCTTTCTCAAATTTTCCTTACAGTGGACTCCCAGCAGTCACTTGTTCCAGCAGTAACAGACACAAATGAGAACTAATGGTGTGTTCAGGTGCACATCCTCAACAAGTGCAGTGGAGAATATCCTACATCCCAATCTGCCCAACTAACATGTACTTGAGCAATATGATTAAGCAACTGTCATCTACTAGACTGCCCCTCATTAACTGAAGGTTTGAACAGCAGATGGGTGTGGCTTCTGTGCTCAGTGCTATCAAAGCTGTATATTAGGCATACCTCACTGACATCACATAGAGCCAAGTACTGCAATAAATTGCTAAAATAGTGTTTAAAGGAAGGTTATGTATACATATGTTGACCTTGTTATTTGAAAATGTTAAAGGTTTAGCATTATATTTTTATATATAACAATAAGGCATAATAGGTCCCCTTTAAGGGCAAAAAAATGTACTTGAGTGTGTTGAGAATTGCCCTGAACGCACCTTTATATTTAAAACTGTGGACTCAAAAGGAGGTGGAGCTTAAAATGGGACATAGCTTTTTTGTTTCAGTGTTTACAATGCTGATTTCCTTCTGTGATTGTGAGAAAGATCAAACACATCTTTCTGAAAAACATTAGGAACCAGATTATACGGTAATTGTTTTTAATATAAAAAATGGCATTGAAAAGGAATACAGCTTCAGCTATCAGTGTTCTCATCCATTTTTACACAAGCAGAGAGCAGCCATGGTTGATAAAATATTTTTCAGATCTTAGCAGACCTTAAAATCAAAATTTCATTGGGTAATTTAATATAATTGTTTTTTGTGGACTTATAAAAAAAATCCTGTATCTCATAATAATCTCCACAAATTATTTATATTTTGATACAAACTTATAAACTGTTTTCTCATGTTTGACATTTATTTGTGAATGAATAACAACTGTTTATTCTGGGACACATCTTATTCTCTCACAATGTCACTGAGCAATTTAATTTGGGAATAACAGGATAAAGGAGAAGCAACATTTGTTGACTCATTAAGAAAATAATGAAGTGATGATCTTGAGATAATGGAATACGATTAATCATCACTTACTGGTCTTGTGTGTCTATTGAGGATGATAATAATTAGAAACAAACCTCAACTCAGACAATAAGCTGCTTCCTGGTATGCTGTATGATTCTGGTCCAACTTACAGATGACGAGAAAAAAAATAAAGGTTTTGAAAAATGTTTTGGTGTCAAAGTTTTTTTTTGTTGAATTTTAATTAAATAAACTTGACGTGTTCTGAGCCTGCATATGGTCTCTTTTACATGTACACACACAATCCCCGTATTATCTTAAGACAACATTTTTTCAAGTCTGAAGTGTACCTGTACCAGCATTTTGGTATCATTGGCTTGCAATTTTACACCCTTAATTTTTAAACATAATAATAAAAATAATACATGTTTGTATATAACTGCAAACAAGTGAATGACCCTTAGAGGTGCTAGAAAGAGAGACTGCTGACCTGTCTGTGCAAGTGCAAAGTTTAGGGTAGCTCCATATTCAGAGAGGGTTTTGGGAAAAACTGATGAAATTTCCAAAAGTGGTGCAGAGTATCATCTGCTAATCATCCAGTAATAAAGAACTGGAGAGTTGCAGTAAGAGTAGTCTGAGTATAACTGGAACTGTTTCATAGTATTATAAATTATACAGCAGTTAAGAAATTCCACCCTTTTTTTTTTAAAATATCAGTAGTTGTACTGATATTTGATAGTTGTGGGGTGATACCCAGCTACATATTAGTTGAAAGCACAGAGAAATAAAAGAGTAGCCTTGACTTTAACAAAGAAAGTAGGAGAAGAGAAAGAAAAGAAAGATTACAAGTAAACATAAATACTGACAGGAGATTTTCCCCCCCTCACCTTCATGTTTTATTATGAAATCCCACCTGAAAGCAGAGTAAACACTCTGTGTTCATTACTTCAGTCAGACCTCTGACTCACCTCTATTCCATTTCTGTGAAACCTTCACTTCACTTAGAAGTCTGATAAGAACCACAGGCTGCTCTGTCCTTGTTCCAGTCTAAAACACATTGCATCAGCAGTCAGTAAACTGTCCCGCATGCGTCACTAAATCAAGAGGTCAGTGGGAGCAGCCATTTAGGAGCCGGCGTCAGTGTCCATGTCATCAGCTTCATCCCCCTCTGAGCGGCAGATCTCGTCCAATGCCAACTCTACAAGATGTGAAAGATGGCAAAAAAAAATGTGACAGTTTTAACGTATGAGAACACAAGAGCAATCGGGTAAGGTGTAGAGATGGCACGATACCACTTTTTTATGTCCGATACCGATATCATAAATTTGGCTATCGGCCGATACCGATATGAATCCGATATAGGGTGTTTTTTAATCAATAAAACTGTTTTTTTAATATCTTGCTGCTTTTTGTATAAGTTCATACTCAAGTTAAAAAACCCCAAAAAAATCCACTAAAGCTATTCCTGTTATACCTGTATGCCAAAAATGCACTGCACCCAAAATATTTCATAGTTCAGCAAAACCCATCAATCTAATAAACTTAAACCTACTCCATCCTCCCTATTCTGGTATTTTAAAGAGTAAGCAACCTAACTAATAGGGCTCTAAAACTCCCAGCAAAAAAATAAATAAATAAATAAATAAATAAATAAATAAATAAAAAATAGGGAACCACCCCTCACGCTCCACCTCATGATGCTTAGTCGACGTAATCAACTTTAATTTGATGCAGTGTGGAAAAAAATGCCCAGAAATCAATTATTTTTCAAGAATAATTAAATAGATTCAACATCTTTCTTCAACAGAATTGCAGACTGCACAGATGGTATCTTCCCAAAGGAAAAAGTACTATAGCTTACTAGGGTATATTAGACTTAATAGTTACTATATACAGTAATGGACTTCTATTCATTTTACATCAGATTAAAACTTTGGGTGTAAGATTCAGATAATAATTTAATAAAAGCTAGACATTTTAAATGAGAATAAGAAAGAAAAGTATGTCTTTGTGCCCCCTTCTCCCTGTTCATGCCCTATCGGCCCCCCTGGCTAAACTTTGCTAGATCCACCCCTGCACAGTTACCAGCCATCAGCTGCGTAGAAAAGGATCCTGGTCTAGAAAGTAATATTAAATAAATTCTAACAACAGATTATCAAGCTTAAACGTGCTGCTGTTATTCAGCCGCTGGTTTCCTCTTTCTGGTGCAAAGTGGGAGATAAACAAGCAAGAGAGACGGACTCGCGACAGAAAAGCCGATCAGCTGATCACTGATCAGTTTCATGATTGAAGTAGCAGCAGGAGACGGAGAGAAGAGGCAGTCGCTCCATATATCGGTTGTTAAGCTTAACGCTGGAATGCTTTACAAACATTCAGAGATGAACTTACACACTTTCTTTACTTCTCTCGGGGATAACTTCCTCGGAGATGAAATGCTGGTTTGGTAGTGAGGCTACAAATACACACAGCCGCTCTATCACGTGAGCACACTGCGCTACTGTTATGAGGAGAGTTACGCCGTGTCGCAAGTTTTGTGAGGTGCTTTTTTTGATATTTAATGGATCGGATTACATTTTTTATTTCTCTCCGATATCCGATCCAGTAATCTACATCAGTATCGGACCGATACGTAATATTGGATCGGTCCATCTCTAGTAAGGTGTAAATACTGGATGATGTAGCTAGCAGTCATACTAAAATGGTCAAATTGATAATATCAATGACATTCAGACATGATTATGTTTTATTATGAGCAATGCACACTAAGTAGCTCTGACGTGGAAGACAGACAACAAAGAGAATTAGTTTAGATCACTCAAAGAGAAGCAGACCTATAAAGCTGCATCATGCATTAAATATGGAGAAAAAAAAAACAGAAAGCCATCCTGTCATGTTGGGCTGATGAGTATTTGTTTTCTTTTCTTTCTTTTCGTTTTGCACTACAGCAATACTAAAGTTACATTTAAACATCCAGTGATCCTGGTACATACAGCTAGATTTAAATACTGATGAACAAATAAAAAGCTGTTTAGGTTCGGAGATCTCATCAGGATGCCCCCCCAGAAACTGCCTTTGGATGTTATCTGGGCACGTTTAGCTTTGAGGAGACCCCAGGGAAGACCCACAACTTACGGGAGGTTATAAATATATGATGTGACCTGTGAGCACCCAGCAGCTGCAGCAATGGGAGGTGGAAAATGTTGCTGGACAGAAGGTGCTGTTTCTTTCCTTAAGTTTTATTTCTGGCTTTTCTGATATAATACAGGAATAACGGAAGGTGGGAGAGAGAGGCGGAATGACATGCAGTGAATAGTGCGGGGGCAGTTGAATATAGGAGTGCTGCACTAAGGATTTTAGAGTTAAATTTATGGAGCACATGCTCTACCAGGTGAAATCCAGAAGCACCCCAAACCTCAAGTTTAATACCAGCATAATCACAGAACATCAGGTGGAATTCTAGTATAAAAATGGTTTGACAACACGTACTACCAGAGATGCCTCATCACACAACTGAAGACAGACATGTTGTTATCTAACAGCTAAAATTATCTGCGTGATACATGTAAGATTCGAGGTGGTAATTAGTCATATCCAGGAGGGGGTGTGTGAGGAAAAACTCATCATGCTCTTAGCGGTTAAGAGAAAGGAAAGCCAAAGCGCTTCATACAAAATTCAGCTATGTTTGAGTTGGTGTATTCCGGTGTAAACAGTTATAGTGGAACTTAAACATCACATTAAATCTTCCTAAATAGTTTAAAAGATTAATTCAAGGCTTAGATTCAGCGTGCATGTTTCTGTGCGTCCATACCCTCGCTCTCGGTCAGATCCGGGATCTTCCTCAGCGTGTCTCGTACAGCAGGGATCACCTGGTCGTACATGTGCAGCAGCGGCCTGCAGCTCTCGGAGAAGCTGCCATGATGCAGAAGCAACCAATGCAACAGCAGCACAAACTCTCTGAGCAGAGATGCCGCTGAGTTGTGCCACCATGGCAAAGAGGAGCTACAGCATGGCTGCAGAGGTGAGGCAAACCCTGGAACAAGAAGCAATGCAAAGAAACCGTGTTTTTAGAGACAGACTGTCAGAATTATTATAGTTTTGTATTTATTATTGGGTTTGTATTGTTATTGTCATTTTGATTTTCAGTAGATTCAGTTTAGTTTTAAATTCAAATTCAAATTTTATTTGTCACACACACACAACCATACACAGTATGACATGGGGGTGAAATGCTTGTAGCTGTACAATGCCCGACCATTAAGTGACAGTTCATTTAAAGAGTGTATTTTCTTATTTCAGTTTTATTTTTATTGTTTGAAATGTTTAGTTTTAGTTTTTTATTAGTTTCAGTGTTTGTTTTAGTCTTTTTTATTATTATGGTAAGTAGATCAGAGGCAAGATTTCAAAATAAATGCAAGTATTACGATAAAAACCTTTCCAAAGCAAGTTGACTCAGATTGTTATAGACATCCAGAACTTCATCCATCAATGGCTCATCAGCCAAGTTGTAACAACATTTTATCAAAAACTAAGGATAATTCCGTTATATTTTTATTTTATTTATTTTTCCAAGTTCCAAACCTGCTATCCTTAGTTTTAAAAATTTCCAAGGTCTAGTTTACTTCTGTTAATTTAGTTAATTATTAAGTTAATTATTTTATAATAGTTTTTAACTATAGTAATCTTTCAGACCATTGTGTTACTGACATTTCATGCTTTCAACCTGAAATATGACCAACCTGTTGGGTCTGTTTGCTCCTGAGAACCACGCAGATCTAACCACTGACGATGGAAAACAATCACTGCTGTCTGAACCAGCTGTGAAGGAATCAAACACAAATGCATAAAGATGCAACACTCGTCACTCTTCACAGGGACACAACATTGTTTCACACAGTTACCTCAGTATAACACTGACAGCTGCTCCGCTGGTTGGTAGCCCAGCTCTCTGATCTCTGAGTCATCAGTCTGCTCAACAAACGAACCACCTGACACACACAAAAAACCCCACTGATTATTAACGCAGACATATCGTAAATTCTCAAATAAAAGCAGTTCATGTGTTCACAATAACAGCATTCCCAGAACGATTAAGCAGTGTATTAAATGCATTGCTTAAAGTTAACAACTAGAAGAGGGAAAAGATTGTTTAAATCAATGCAATTGATAATTAGTAATATTAATTAAATCAAACATTAATAAAATCAACAAA